CAGACGAGTGCTGAAACAGTTGATGAGGAATTGAGCCAGTTAAATTGTTGATTGAGAGATGCAAGACTTGAAGATTCAATAGATTGGCAAAACTTTCCTGTATTTTGCCAATCAAGTTTGTCGTACCCATCCACAAAAATTCCTACTTCAACTTTGCCCAACTTCGGCGGTATTCTCGCGGGCAAAAACAGAGAGTTGTAAGCCATATCTAGACTCAACAGATTCCACAAGTTTCCGATTTCCGATGGAAACGTACCGGTGAACTAGTTTCCGTAGAGGTGCAAGTACTGTAGCTCCTGCAACCGGCATATGGCCGGCGAGATATCGCCGGAGAATTTGTTATGGGCGAATTTCGCTGCCGGTGAAGTGAATATCCGACTAGTTACACAGCGAGGATGTGGAGGTCCACGACACTGTCCATGGAGGATTGCCCCAATGTTGTTTTAAGGTTGAGTAGGATAGTCCGGTCGGTGGCTGCCGGAGACTCTGAAATTACCTGAAAGGGCATTGTTAGAGTGAGAAACAAGTAAAAGAAAGAGAGTAGAAATTTTAAGAATGGTGAGGGTATTTTGGCAAATCAAGCTCCCCTTAATTCCTTTGTTAGCAACTGAATACTAATTTTAAGAATGGTGGGGGTATGTGCATTAGTGTAAAACTTGGAAAAGATCATAATAGAAACTATGATATCTTCATTTTAGCATTTATAACATATTTTAACAAAATTGTTAGATATACAAAAATTATAAATTTTTTTACACAATTGTAGAATTTTTAAAATTTTTGATAATTTTTTTAATATTCCTAACATAGGTTGTATTTAAATAGCCAATAAATTAGAGATAGATAATCTTTTAGGTTGCATTTGGAATTATAGATTTAAAATGAAGAGAACACTCCTTCATGGAGTATAACCTTAATTCAATATAGAATTTTACACCTCGATTTTAAGAATAGATTTGAGAGATTTAAATTGATGAATTTGAAATAAATTGGTGAATTTAATTATTCGAAATATTTCCATGAATGATTTTACTTGTAAAATAAATTTTTATTAAAAAAAAAAAGAAGCATTTTTCTCTCCTCTATTTAACCATCTACTTAAGAATTTTTAATCTACTCCAATGCTAGACCCATATAGCTAATAGAATCTTTAAAACTAAATAGATTTTTTGTGCGCATATAGCTATTTTTCAAAAAAAATTATAAATACACAAGATTATATGGGAGCTAATGAGATTTTTTATAAGTTTGGGTGGCTAATTTAAAGATATTTAGATTTAGATTTTGGAAGTACCAAAATAAGATTATGTAGATTTGTAAGAAACAGCTCATTCTCATATCACATCTCCACATAAGAAAACAACACACACTAACATGGACATTGATACAAGTTCATTTATAAATCACACTTTAATTGGGAACATAAGACTTCGTGAATGAATGACGAACTTGACATGGGCTCATACAGATCCAATTATCCGACTAACTTTCAACATTAATCTATAGAACATACAATCAAAACAACAGTGTAATTAGATTAAATTCTTATAATAGGCTACCGGAATATTATTTGAAAACAAAAGCAGGTGTGTCAATTGCTTCAATTTCTAGAAATCCATTGGTTTCGAACCTATCAAATTGCTCTCTGACAAATCCAATTTGTTCAAATTCAGTGACTCAATTGAAGTTGGAATTTCACCCAACAATTTATTTTTATTTAAAAATACAAAAATCAAGTTCTTTAATTGAAAGAGTCCTTGAGGAATTGAACCTGTTAAATTGTTCTGAGACAAACCCAATGACTCAATTGGAGTTGGAATTTCACCAGATAATTGATTTCTGAATAACCATACAAAATTCAAGTTCCTCAATTGAAAGAGTCTTTGAGGAACCAGTCAAATTGTTCTCCAACAAGTTCAATTTGATCAAATTCAGTGACTCAATTGGAGTTGCAATTTTACCTGACAATTGATTTCTAAATACCTCACAAATAGTCAAGTTCTTCAATTGAAACAGTCCTTGAGGAGCTGAACTCGGCAAATTATCTTCTAACAAGTGCAATTCGATCAAGTTCGATGACTCAATAGGAGTTGGAATTTCACCCGACAATTGATTTTTATGTAAATATAAAAACCTCAAGTTGATCAATTGAAACGGTTTACGAGGAATTGAACTAGTCAAATTAAATCAAACTAAACAATTATAGTCTAACAATACAGACATGTTTTTTTTTTTTTTTTTTTTTTTTTTTTTTTTTTTTTTTTATCAAATTGATTTTTAGGTGTTTGTTTTTTCCCAAAAAAAAACAGAAAAAAAAGAAATCAGTTTTTGAAAACTCAACCACAAATTTTCTAGCCTCATTAGTTTGCAAACAAGAACCTATACCAAGTCCCTTCTGGCTAATTGGGTAGAATGGGTGGATCAACTAAGGTTACATTTGGGAAGTGATTTTTCGGGGGAAAAAAAATATATATATATATATATATATATATTTATGGTGTTTAGAAATGACTTTTTAAGTTTTTATAATAAAAAAATGTACAAAAAGTAGAGAGAATCAGAAAGAATTTTTGATTTTTTTATATGATTTTTTTAACATTTTAACATTATTATTATTATTATTATTTTTTGTGGAAAATTTACTAATAAATCCTAATTCCAGAAATGTTACTCCAATTAGTCCTTAATGTTTTTTTATGAACCGTTCAGTCCTATTTGATTTGGGAGGAATATTTGTATTTGATTTGGTATGTTTGGATTTTACATTTGTATCCTTTTGTTGTGGGATTGCGTAGTTGTTGGGTTGCTGATGTCGCCACGTTTGTTGGGGGAACGTATATGTACATTACCTTTTTTCCGTAGATAGTTGGAGTGATTTACGGGGAGTTTGTTTCGTTTTGGTTGATGTGTTTGCAGAGGGGTTTTGGGGGCTTTTGTGTATTTTGTTCATTAATACCGCTATTGCAGTGTTGAGGTTTTCATTTGGATGTGTACATCGCCGGTTGCTATAACTCACAATTTCTAATTGAGGCTTTTTTAGGCAGGTATGGATGGTGCTATCTTGATGTTGTGTTCTTACGGACGAACGAACGCTGTCATTCATCTTCATCAAGCGTTGACGTTCGCGGATTTGATCAGTGGGATATGCAGGAAGTTTGAAGGGTTGGACTCCGAGATGGTCGTCTTATTCATTGAAGTTCCTGGATATAACAAGTTCTGTGTCTTGTGCGATGAGGATGCTTGGAATCTGTTTTCTCTTGCGAAGTCTTTTGGTCTCGATCATGTCGATGTCATTATTCAATTACGAAATGGGGGACGGGGACAATCCTGGTGATGGAGTGTGTATGGCTGACTCTGGCAGCAAGGCCCCGGGTTATGGGATGCTCGGGTTGGATGACCAGACGGATCTGTTACAGTCGTATTGTCAGCATAGGTCCAAGACATACCTGTCGGCTGGGTGGGCAAGCGGCGTTACAAATGTGGGTAAGTGTTTTATTGGTGGGGCTGATGAATTTCGGACCGTCCTTTCCAAATACGTTGTCGAGTGTGGGTTTCAGTTCAAATACGTGAAGAATGATTTTGTGCGTGTTACAGCTGTTTGTAAGTTTACAGGGTCAACGGGGTGTTTGTGGTCGGTACATGCCAGGGTGTTCGCATCCAATGGTGTTTTTTGTCTGAAGAGGTTTAGTAGTGTACACACGTGTGGTGCTGCTGTTCGTATGTCCAGGAACCCACGTACCGGGTCTGATTTGGTGGCCGATGTTGTTGCGGATCGTGTGCGTGCTCAGCCATTGACATGGCCCACTGACGTCGTTTTTGGTTTGAAAAACGATTACGGCCTGGATATTAGTTACCCTGTTGCTTGGCTTGGTGTTGAGAAAGCGAGAACTGAAGTATATGGTGACCACGCTGTGTCCTTCGATCAGCTTAGTTGGTACAATGATGCTGTGATGGAAAATAACCCAAATAGCTGTATCAACCTCGAATTTTAGCAGCAAACTGGAAGATTTGTTCGGTATTTCATATCATTTCGTGCTTGCATAAATGGATTCAAGCATTGTTGCCCGTTGTTATTTCTTGACGGTACTTTTCTCAAGGGCTGGTTCAAGGGGAATTTACTTGTGGCTACTGCGAAGGATGGGAACCAAGGTAATGTGTTTCGCGTCTTCAAATTGGTTACATTCAATTGCACTGCTGTCTTTAAATATTTGTTCAAATAAGGGTAATGTGTTTTGGGGGTGATGACAGATTGGTTGTGTATAATATATATATACATATACATGTTGCTATATAATGTCTCACAATTTGTTGTGGTTTCAAACAGTTACCAGTGGGTTTTTTTCTTTTTTAATTTCGGTCTTTCCATTGGGGGGTTAATGGCAGCTGGGTTGTGGGGAAACTATATACATATATAGTTTTTTTAACATCACACAATCTGTCCTGTTCCATTTGGTTTTTGGTTGTTGTTTTTCCTATGGTTTGGTGGGCTAAATGCATGGGTTTTGTGTGGATGTGGTGTTGTTTTTTATCGCCATACCAATTGAAAACAGGTTTGTTCCTAGTCGCGTTTGCCGTTGTTGATTCTGAAAACGCAGCAAACTAGGAGTGGTTTCTTCAGCAATTGTCGGAGGTTGTTGATCATGGTCGGAATTTGACATTTGTTTCCGATCGCCACATTGGGCTGTTATAATCCATGTCAGAAGTTTTTCCATTGGCACATCATGCGTTTTGCCTTGCACATCTTCAAATGAATTTGAGAGACCGAATGAAATACGCCAATGCCGAGCAGAAGTTAGGACTGATGCGCAAGTTACGCGAATGTGAGTACACACCCATCGTCACTTCCTTCAACCAGAAAATTGAGGTCTTGAAATTGTGTAGTCCGGCTATTGTTGGGGAGTTTCTGAAAGATTTGGATCCAAAACATTGGGCCAATGCGCACTTCGGGTACGTACATGTTTTAATTTTTTGTTTGTTACATTTTTTTGGACCCCCACGAAATGTTTGTAGTTGATTGTGTTGTGGGCAGTGGTAGGCGGTACGGGGAGATGTTGTCAAACGCTGCCGAATCGTTCAATAACTGGATTCGTGAAGTGTGCCACCTTCCTATTGCGCAGTTGGTTGATGCTAATGGGGGTCAAACTATGGAACAAATGTCAAAGCGTCGGGTGAAAGGTAACAAATGGGTTGGCCATCTATGTCCAAAGATGGAGAAGAAGTTGGAGGCCGAATACAAAACCAGCAGGCCATGGATTGTAAGCCAAGCCAATGAAAATGTGTATGATGTGCACTCGCATCCGTCAGTTTTAGTTGACGTCAACAGGCGTACTTGTTCATGTTGTCAGTGGCAGGTGAATGGGTTTCCGTGTTCATACGCAGTGATCTCATTTCGCAATAGCGGGAGAAATATATCTGATTCCATTGAACCTTATTACCATGTTTCCGAGTTCAAGGCATCATATTTTGAGTCCATTCACCCTATTCCAACAATTGAAAAACCCATCGCCACGCACACTGATTACCTCATAGCACCGCCCGTTGTTAAGCGTCCACCTGGGAGGCCAAAACGGAAGGGGATTCCATCTAGGGGGGAGGTGGTGCAACGTATTCGGTGTGGACGATGTGGGAAGATGGGCAACCACAACAAGAAGACATGCAAGGAACCGATTTAGATACGGGAGGACATACAAGGAACTGATCTACATCCCAAGTCAATTTATCATCACACTAGCCATTGAACCATTTTCATAAATCATCCTTATAATTTGTAGTGAACTTTTTAAATGTTTTGGGGTACAATTAGTAAGCATGTTGGCGATGCATTAGGGAGACGGAAAATTATTTGCACCCACATTTAGTATCTTCATATTTTCAGCCTTGTTTTTACGCTTTTCCCATTTTGTGATAAATAATCATGTTTGTTTACTGGTCGTTTTTCAAAATGATCTCACTTGCAATTTGTATTTTGTCTCTCGGGGTATTGTTTTCCGAACGTTTGATCACAGAACAAATTTTTAAAAAATTGGTCAATGGTTTTTATAGCGTTAGTGGAAGGTTATGTAAAAATCACCCAGTTTCAAATTTGAATGTAACTCATCATATTACCCAACTAATTGAATGCTTCAAAAATTGAATCCAATTTATTTGCAGACAAACACCCTTAAGTGTCTGTCCTCATTGAGTGTTACTGTCCTCATTGTCAACGTACCAATCATTGATGCCAAAATTTTAAAACTCAACGCAATGGGAAAAAAAGAAAAAAAGAAAAAAAAACTAATGAACACACACGTAACATTCAAAAAATGAATGTTACTAATAGCTAAAAATGTAAATATATCATGGTTTTTATAGCGTTATTGGTGTAAGCCTTTTCTTCCAACGATTCATCGCAGTCAACCAAACTTCTCACACTTGCCATTTGGTGGGAATGCCTTTTTATTGAGATACGGTGGTAAAATGAAATGGTCATGAATTAAATTACCATGCTTGCATTACATTAGTATGTGTGTATTTTGCTGTTGTTGGGCCATTACGTTACGCATTTCCCTTGCTACATTCCTTCCTGTGTTTTTTTTGTGTGGGTACTGCAATTAGGTCTGACCAATGCATTTATTTGCCGTTGGCACCAATGTCATTTACGCATGCCCCACAATTGTTACAACTGCCTAATACCATCAATTGGCTAATTGCCATAATTGTCTAACACCATCAAAACCTGTGTCAGTACTGAAGTCAACATTGGAACACAATTGTCTTATACCATCACACGTTTATTCGTTATTAAAATGCATAACATACCATCAATTGCCTAATATCATCAATTCTTGTGTGGGTACTAATGTTAACATTGCACCAACATTCCCTAATACCATCTCACGCTTATTCATTATTCCAATGCATACAATACCATCAAAACACAATATTTAAGTGACTACCATTTCAACACACAGCCTGAAAAACAGAATCCCAAACATGTTTCAAGGATTTGTAGGAATTAAACACTATGTTTGTACAGCAATGTCCTACCAAACATAATATGTACATCCCCAAAAGTTATAACTAAGTTCAGCAGCTACTATTTTGTTAAAAAAAAAACATTAACTAGTAATAACTTAAATAAACTGTCTGCATTTTGTTGTCCCTCATCAACTCCAAAATGATTTACTTATCTACTTTTGATTTTGGTGGTACGTGCGTCATATGGTCCTGTAGCGTAGCCCTCTGACTAGATCATTCACAAATGTCTTCACCATTGATGCACGGTAAGCAGTAGTCGTCACGCCATCCATAGTGGTATTAATTCCCACCTTCTGCACATATTGTCTCATGAGGAAGCACATTATCATCGCACAGTCAACCCTAGAACACAATACAACTTTCGCTTTGTTAGAAATTACAAATTCTACTCCCTAATAAATATGTTTGTCAAAAATATTTGTAGCACTTACGTGTCAGCCGCTTGCTGAGGGCAATCCATAATAGATTCCAACGTCCCGTCGATGTATGGGGGTGCCACATTTGTTGTCCTTGCACCAACGCCCACAATGCGGTTATGATATTTCACCATCCATTGTTTCTGGCAAAGTGACAATTAACATTCAAGTTACTCTTACATGTACACCAATAAACTGAATGTAAAACACCAATTTGATGCGGACACTTTAAGCTTAAAAAATTTCACAATCATCAACCACATTCAGAATCATTCCAATTCATGTAACCACATACGTTGTATCCTAATTTGTAGACATTTCCAGCCTACTACATAGGATACTTCACAATGTAGTTTTGCAATACAGAGATGTACGTACCGCTTTAAGCGCCTCGGTGAAATGAGGGTCACGTAGGCCACGTCTCTGCCTATTTGAATTATAGTGTTTCCAATTCCCACTTTTGTTATCGTACACTATCAGCGTCCAGTGGTTGTCGTGGTAAATTGGGTAATGAATGTGCCGGTGTCCTGTTGCGGATTTCATGTTCACCTCTAGGAACTTATCTCTCGACGTCTCACTCGGATTTCGCATCATGTCCTGCCATTTTAATTTAAAATTTGTTAGTATCATCCAACACACAAGACCATACCATCTACAGCAGCTTGTCAATTCATACCGCACAAATGCTGCTAAAAGAATAACAGCGCCCACATTGTTGTCTTCATCAGCACAATTCCGTTGCAAAACTGTTAGGATTGCTGCATACGCATCGATTACCTGCCAACAATAATTTGCACACTGTTAAAATACATACTAACATCCAAAATATATTACATAATATAGTACACAACTTCCCTCCCAACCAACCCAAGGTTATTACAACACTAACCTTCCCGCTCACACATGATTGTTGGACCAATGCCTGAATATCAGAAAAGTAGACACGCATCTCATTGTCTCCACCGTCCCAGATAACAGCCCTGCATTTTTTAACCCACAACCAGTTAGTACACTTTCTATTAAATCGAAAACACGTTGCTACCACTTTCATTACCAACAATTGCATTACCCATCTCCGTGAAAACTGTATACGTCTTTCAATCGTTGCTGATCATCTACAGACAACATTGTCCACACGATGTCCCTGTGAGTCATACCAAATACATTCCATGTTTTCCGTTCATGCTCCACTTCGTCAATGTTAACAACATATCGCTGCCCCAGCACAGAGACGTTACAAATTTTTGTAACCTGTCTCTCACGCCTAACCATCTTCGAGTATTCGTAATCAGCCAACCGTAGCTCGCGCCTCGGCTTGTTCTTAACACGGAAAACCAAAGACGACACTGCAACAACATTACTTTGCAGACCCTCGGCTGCCCTTATAGTATCAGATAAATTTGCATTTTCATTCCCCCTCTCGCTCCCTGCACAATCTGCGAATGGGTGTATGACCACTGCAGCTGGACATCGTTGTGGGCCACTGACGCGATGAATTTCTGTGGGTGTTTTTTTCAATGGAGAATCAACCTCCACTGCATCTCCTACCTCAATACAGACTGCCCCCATTGGCATTGTGGACTTGCTTCTCAGTGTTTTGTCTACACTGCTGCGTTCAGTCCGACTAACGTGGCTGTCATTATAGCTGCCATACTTTTCTACTTGGTCTTCACTTGGTTGCCTTTTGCTGGATTCAATATTTGTAGCTAATTGTGTCATTGCATGCGTTTCATGGTCATCGACTTGGTCTTGTAAGATTGCTACCTTCCCATCCAACTGTGTGACGAATGCTCTCAATCGCGCTATCTCTGCATCTTTTGCAGTAATAACGTTCTCGAACCCAATGAACAAGTTAACGGCTTTCGTTCCAATTATACGTTCCATAACGTCCACCCGTGCTTTCAATTCATTAATCTGAACTGATTTCCTTCTGTTACCGTCTTCTAGCTCCTTGTTTTTGAGTAAAGCGTTTCTTAGATCTGTTTCCAAATGTTCGCCGTCCCCATCACCATCTGCTGCAGGTGTGCTTGACAATTCAAGTAGGTCGGGAAACAGGTTCGAAAAACCATTCTCCAGTGCAACGACCCTCCCACTACGTTTTCCTTTTTGCTGCACCACTTTGCTAACTCCTTCAACGCCCTGACGTGGGGGCTCACTGTCAACATGACCACCGTTTGGCGAGTCTGGCTTCCAACAATCAAAGCTTGCTTCTGTATTTTCCAATTCAACAACATTGCCTATTTCATTCATTTGTTCCTCCATCTACACCACAAACTCATTGTTTTCATTTCATACTAGAACTTGGTCATCATTTGGTACACTCAGAGTGTATCGCTCAAGTATAGTCCCGTACAGCTTGTCATAGTTCACCTGCCATGCCAAACTCAGTGTATTATACGATGCAGATCAAACAAACACTGTTTCAAATTTTGTGGACAGGACAATAACAATTTCAAATTTTACCTGCAGCGATTCTGCTGACGTCAAGTCCAGCCCTTTGATCTTACATATGAGCGATCCAACGTTCCACTTATAAAATCTTGGGAAGGTAGCTTGGTGCTCTGGTTCTATGAGATTTGTGTGTTCACAAATCATAAACTACAACACAAAATGATATGCAACATTAGTTGTATTATGAAAGACAATCATTGATTGGACAACTGATGCCAGCACAGGGCCAATGTGAACGGGATGTGTAATTAACATACCAACAGCGCAACGACGCAGCCGGTGACCTTCTCAGGCCTGATGTGGAAATCGTTGAGGGAATTAATGAGAGTGTTGATACGGTTGTTGTCCAGTCATAGTTTCGCAACGTATCCAGCCTGTCAATCACACGGACGAGAGACCAACCAATTGATTCTCCGGTAGTTGCAAAAAATAGCTTACCACAAATGTAGAGACATAGAAGCTTCACTACGTCCTCCTTGTCACGTTCAGTTTTCCCTTCAACGCATCAAACAACAAATCCTTTACGAGCTTGCACGATATTCGTCCGACGGTGGGGCACCTCCGTTGCATGAAATCTGATGTTGGTTTCGGTGATGACGATACATCTAACTTGTCCTTGCCACATTGAATCCCAAAAATCAGTCGGATGTCGTTGTTTCAAAGCGCCAACCCATGCCCTCCAACGTAAAATTTTTCGTCTCTTAGATTATATGTTTGGATGATCCAGCATACGGTTTCATCACACTTCTTGAATGTATTTGCTTCCAAATTGTGTGTTTGGATAGATT